TATCTGAAGGGAGGGTGTCAAGAGGATGGGGCCAGCCTCTTCTCCGTGGTGCCCAGCAACAGGACAAGAGGCAACGGGCACAAACTGGACCACAGGAAGTTCTGTCTGAACACGAGGAAAAACTTCTTCACTGTGAGGGTGACAGAGCACTGGAGCAGGTTGCCCAGAGAGGTAGTGGAGTCTCCTTTGCTGGAGATATTCAAAACCCGCCTGGATGCGATCCTGAGAAATATGCTCTAGAGGACCCTGCTTGAGCAGGGAGGTTGGACTAGATGATCTCCAGAGGTCCCTTCCAATCTCAACCATTCTGTGATTCTGTGAAGCCATAAAGTACAATGCTAGCTATCTTTAAATATGAAGATACTACATGGAACTGAGACAACCCTAGCCTCATACCACAGACCTTTCTTCCTTGCTTCCTGAAAATTCGGTAGAAGAGTTAAAGCAGGACTTCACAACTATCCTGTAAAGGAGATTGATAACCATAGAGAGAAGGGACTTTGATCTCATTTAAAAAATATGTGCAGCCTCAGTCTTGATCTGTATCTCTTTTTTGTGCTGGCTATTAAGAGAGTATGGTAAGAAGGTAGTGGTCTTAGACAGATGAATTCACAAAGCCAAAAGCATGCACTAAATGGAAAACAGGCATAATAAATGCTTTCCAGGCACAAGCTGCCAGAGGCTGCACATTTCATAAAATCCTTTCTCCAAATGTGTTGTTGAATACAAAAAGGTTGGCATGCACACATGTAAGAAGTCTAAGTACAGATGGTTTTGGTAGTCTTAACAGTGGGGTTTTTTTTTTAGTTTTCTTCCTTTCTGTGTGTGTCCGAATGTGCATGCAGAGGAGAGAGGGGGATGGAACATGTAATAAGATTCTAATACTTGTTAACTGTCAAAATAGTATTCTCCTTTATGTTTTTTTTCCTTTCAGGAACTGGGTTTTGCCATTTTAGGTGTCCCAGCATCTGGTGCAGAGTATAAAAACAACACAAAGTAAATTCATTGCTGTTGCCTAACCTTGCGTGTGGTCCCCGACCTGCGCTCATCAGCTTGTTTGGACCAGGACCTCTCCGCAGGTCCCAGCTGCTTGCAGGACAAGCAGTGCTGCCCCATCACTGCAGCACTGCAGCAGGAACGAGGGCCCTTGCACCAAGCCCCAGGCCCTGCCTTTGGGTGCGCTGGCTGGGGGCAGTGCTCCCATGCCTGCGCCTTGCTACCTCAGCTCAAGAAGTGGATGCTGCTGTGCAGAAACCATCAGCAAGGCCAGCAGCGAGAAGGCCACAGGGACTGCACATCTTCAAGCGCTGTTCGTACAACCAGTGCGCTCCAGGCTGACTGGCTCACTAGTTGTTTTCTTCCAAAAGGAAAGAACGATGTCTTCAAAAGAAAAAAGCTTTAAACCTCTGTAATTCTTCTGTCACTACTGACTGTGCAACAAAACCTAGGTAATTCCACTGAACAACTGAGAAAAACATTTATAATTCTAAAAAGACAATGAAAACATGTCCCAGCACGTTTGTCATATTACAATGTGGTGAGTGGTGGCTTAGTTTCATTTGTAATGGCTCTGGCTGCACAAAAGCTGCTACAAGCAGTCTGCTCTGATGGGAGGGAAACACGTTTGTCATGTAGAGATCACAAACCAAATTAATAAAGAAGTTAGCAACACGCTCTCAGTTGTTAATATGTGCACATGCTACTTTCATGCATGTACATTGCACATATGTAGATATATCCAGGAAGCTTCATATAATAAAAGAGGGCAACTCACTGAAAACAATGTGTCAAGCGGAAGCTAATATGGTGCTATGGGCAATCCAGGCTCAGGCCATGTAGCTGCTTTCGCTCCTCAACATGAAATGCAACAGATTTACCTGAACATGACAGTTTTGTAAGGGGGCAGGCAGTAGTCAAGACTGCACATGAACTGGACCTGTTTCATTCACAGTTTATCTTCACCTAGTGAAAGGCACTGAATTATTCAAATCTTTTTGAAGTTGAAATCATTGAATTCCAATGGGGTAACTGGTATATGCATGTTTTTAAAGTCATTCAGGTTAAATCGAAAAAAAGCAGGATGCTAGCTATAAACTGTAACATACTTTTCAAATGTCCTTGTCAACTCCATAAAGTCCTAAATTTTAAGTTGTATAGCACCCTGTGAGGTAGATAAAAGTTTTTATCCTCAATTTACAGTCAGGGTAATTAGGATTATCGAGGTACCAAAGAATTAATAGAAATAAAATTCTCCCAGTCCTTCTATTTAATCCATCAAAACTACAACCAGTATCCAGAACATTTCAATTCTCAGCTTGTTTTTTAGCCACAGTTTTCATACCTCTTTTAAAAATATTTGTTGTATATGATTTCCTTGGGAAGCATGGACCAAAAGTTCCATGTTACTAGAAGAATAAAGATCAAACAAAACACCAAGAACTTCAGCCTTGATAGCTTCATACGTGATTCATTTGAACATTTTGAAATGTTATAAAATAGGTACAAAATAAATAACAGCCTTCTAGTCTTCACTACCCGCATAAAACAAAAATAGGAACTTTAATCACAAAATCCAAGTTTCCATACCTAAATGCCAATACATATTCAAGGCCTTAGCAAGACCCTTTTGCATGTTGAACTGGCCTCAGCCAAAAGTTTCTCACAAGCTCTCTTTTGCCTCATGGTCAGCACATGACTCTCACTGAGCTGAACAGAATTTGCGCCAACAAAAAAATACCAGTTTGCTCAGCAAGTTGCAAACACTTCCACATATTTACTGGAATAAATCTGAGCCACTAAGAAATACTTTGCTGAAACACCTTCATTGATACAGTATTTTATCTGTGCTAAAATTATAAGGACTAAACTTTATTGAAGCCAATAAAATTAAACCCATTTAAAAATGACAAAATAGGCGTAGCCAGGGATTTTCCCTGTACTAGGAGTACTGTATGTGTTGCACTGTACTTAACAGTATTTACCAATAGTCCAATATTTGCTAGACCTACCTTTTTTTTTTCTAGTGTTCATAGACCATCATATTAGAGAAGACCCCTCCCTCACAAAGCCAATACCAGTCCAATGCACCATTGGTATCCCCTGCCTCAAGGTTCAAGGTGATCGTTAAAGAAAAGTTTAAACCCTGTGCATAAAGGTAGGAAAGCAGTACTTTCTGCAGTACATCTGACCCACTTGTGCTTGTGAAACCCAGGAAAATCACTTGCTCGCTTTGCAAAGAGCAAAGGCATTGACTGTAGGCATGACAGATAATTCTGGTAAAAAAAAAAAAAAAGAAGACATCACAACCTGCAGCCTGTCAAGGATAGCTTCACAACAAGCTTCTTTTCCTTATAATAAAACAGGAACACTCCTCTTTAGGATATCTCTTGCCAGAGAAGCATTTTTACAGAAACTCGAAAGCAATAGCATTTTCTACGAGCAGTACAGTACCGTGCTGTAGCTTCTGCATGCTTGATTGTAGTGTAGGCGGGAACTCCTACCTGCAATAAAGCAAAAGCAATAAAGCAAAAGCAATAAATGTCCACCCAAAAACTGCTGTCATGATTTCACCTCCCTTTGGGGAATATTCCCTCTTAATACAAAATCATCAAAGTGAAAGAGAAAAAAACTTCACAGCAGTTGGCTCTTCCATTAGCTAGGACTCAAATGAGACAAGTGTTCAGAACTGGAGTAAACAACCAAGAACAATTTAGTAGCAAATCTGACATCTGTTACACTTTCAGAGCATCCCAAATCTCTGTTGTGGCAGTTCTCAGACAAGAGATCTCGTAACCACTGCCTTCAGAAACTATGGTCCAACACTGCAGTTACAGCAGTTAATTAATGCTATATAAGCTTTAAAAAAGCACCTTGTGAAACAGCTGTATTCCTGAGGAACGGTGGAGAGGGAATATATTTCAGCTATGGCTTACATCTCCTGTCATGTTCTTATGGTGAAAATAATTGCCTGATGTCCAGACAGATATGGGTACCTCCTTTCCCCATGAATGGTACCTTGCTAGCATTAGGAGGAAGACTTCAGGAAGCAAAGATTCCGGTTTTTCTTCTGCTCCACCGCAACTGGAAATACAAATAGATTTATACCAGAGCATATATGAAATTTTTAGTACTTCCAAAATGCCTTTTATTGAAACCTGTGATGTTATCCCCTGTTTCAGAAGTGGAAAAGCAAAAGCTTAGAAGAAAAGAAAGACTTCCCTGTCATCCTTGCTCAAGTCAGTAGGACATTACAAAAGAGAAATCAAACTCTCTGAGACTCAGGCTTCCACTCTGAGCAGCACTTCATTCACAGTAGCATAAAGTTTAAGGCCAGAAGTTTTGAGGTTATGTAGGCTAACCTTCTGCATATCAAAGGTCATGAACTGTTACCCCATTAAGGTTGTGTTACACAATATTAAGAACATTTAACTGAACCTGATCCTATCAACAAGGTTTGACACAAAGAGATGAGGAATCAGCCATGCCCCTTAGTTCTTTGTTCAAAGAGTTAATTTTTTGCAACTTTAGAAACATGCCTTGTTTTGGATTCCTATGTCTTTGGCTTCCCTTTTCCTTCAGCTTCGTTCCTTCTATTATTCTGCCTTCTCAGTTAGATTAAACAGCCTTTTGGATTTGTTTTCCTCCTCTGTGAATGTACTTCACAGTATGATCAAGTCCCTTCTCAATCTTCTTTTTGATAAGCTAAGCAGACTGAGCTCTTCAAGTCTCTCACTGCAAGGCATTTTCTCAGCCTTTGAACCATTTGTGCAGGCCCTGTCTGCATCCTTTTCAGTTCAGGACTGAACTGAATTCTTTTCCTGTTTGTTTCCCATGTTTTATTTTTTAAAGCCCTGGCAGCAGAACGACATGCAATATTCCAGTGCTGCTGACCCCCATTCCCCATTTAGTTGTAAAATCCTTTCTCCTCACAAGCTGCCAGTTCATACACCCAAGGAATGTGTGAGCCTGGATCACCAGAGCAGTGCACTGGAAGCTCCTGCTAAGTTGCTTTTTTCCTAGGACCCTTTGATCTTCTTCCATGCTGCTGTTTTCCAGAGTGGTGAGCGTTCATTCTGTAGGTATGAATGATCTGGATTCCTTTGTCCTAGGTATGTAAGTTGCACCTGGCTATATTTCAATTCATCTGGTGTGAATAGCTCCAGAAAATTAAGTAAACCTCTATAATGCTTCCTCTAACTCAATGAAATTTTAAACTCCAACTTTAAGAAATTATAAGCATTTTCCATTCTCTTGTGTTTAGCAGCTCTAAATATCAAATAAGCTATAAAAATCTCTCCTTTTAACTTTCATAAAGTTGGATTTATATTCTCTAATTCAAAAATCAATAATCCAATTTACAATAAAGTTGGAAAAAACGGCAGAAAAATTACAAAATTAAGTGTTAAGGTATACCAACCAGAGAGGGGAAAAAATGCTTAAAAATAATTAATTACATTAATAACTGAACAATATATGATAGAACAATTAACGTTTATCATTAAAGGGTGTTCATGAGAACCAAGTCCATTTGAGGAGGGAAGGAAGAGAAGAAAAAAAGGCTACATGCTATAAGCAGGAAAATAACCAAAAGCATAATCATTGCTAGACTCTGATCTTGATAACCTACCTTACTTAAAAATCTTGTCTACATATGGAAAAGCCAAGACTTCAAATTCGTAAAGCGATTATAGTCAAAGACTATTTATACTTCAGAATGAAACTCAGCAAAAATTTTTGCATTCAGAGACAGTATATGGATTGAATTCCATGCAAGATTCCCAATGCTGAATGATCAAAAAGACTTATCTTTTCAGCAAAGGTGCATCTAATCAGTATTTGATAAATTTAGCTGCCAGTTAGATCAATGGTTTCCCCAGTAAAGGCTAGAAATTAAGGAGGAGCACTGCTCCTTGTGATGATGGTCAAAACCACTTGGACAGAGCAAAGAGACACTGGTCCTTCATGGAAAGCTAAATAGCCCCTCTGTTTGCACAGAGCTCACTTGAAGTCACTGTGCTCAGATACTCAGGCATAGCTCAGGATATCATCTAAATGGTGCAAGAAAAAGCAGCCTGCCACACAGAAAGACTCCCAGTAATCTAGGGAGTGGGAAGAAAGGGAAAAAAATGGAATTAAGGCCCTGATCCTACAAACACACTCACATACTCATAGGTGTGAATATATGAGCTACCTCACTGACTTCACTGGGTTGGCTGCCTACTACATTTATTGGTAAGATTGGAGCCTGACACTGTAAACCTGCTGGGGGTAAAGGGATCCATTTGTGTTCTGCACATATGAAGTCTCAGCACCCAGTCTGAGACTGTGTTAGGACGCTAAAATAGATCAACCAATAATTGTTCTATTCTGTACAACAAAGCTATGGAGAAGGGATCATCCACTGCACCCTATAAAACAAAAGGTAAGTTGCAGTCTCTGTGTGGTCTCCACTATATCCAAAAAGCACAAGGCACCTGACTTGGTATAGCCTTATACTCACTTGCATGGGTGTCATGAGTGACCAGAATCCAGCCTGTGACCTCTGAGGAGTACGAGCCTTCACAGTCACTCCCTCCTTAAATCAGAGAGAGGCTTAAATCACAACCTAGGTTGAACATATGTATGTATACATATAAACTTAAACATGCTTCTACAAGTTAAATAAGGTGTCTGTCACAAGCTGCGCTCTGATCTCTCTGACCTATGCTCAGTGCTGGTGAGAAGGCAAACAGATCATACACAGCTTTCTTGGACAAGGGCTTGGTGCTCACTTATGATCATGCATGCCCCAGGTAAGTAAAGCAGTCCTGAGGAACTTCTTCCTTCTTAAGCAAAAGGGATAGCCTAGACACAGTGTGGTCTGTCTTACATCCCTGAGAAGTCCCTACCTGACATACTGAAAGTCAAGATTGGAAAGCAAGTAGCTGCACTGACCCTGGACTATCTGAATTCAGATTTTTCATTCTAAAAAAAATACTCCACTATCCAATCCAATTGCTAAGACTGGAGCAGTCAAAGCAGTTTTGACCCATGAAGAATCAATCCTGGTTAATAAAAAGCTTCAGCAAACTGGGAGAGCCCATCACATTGCATTAATAATGATAAAAGTAACTTGAGTTTCTTATCCTGTCCAAGCTCATTCATTTTATGCCTCTGTTAATTCCTTAGGCTGCAAATTCCTGAAACCGGAAATGTCCTAACAGGTTTTCTGCCCATCATGAAATGTACTTATTACCTACACAGAGACAAGTAATTTGGTCTTCTGATTTTCAGCAGTGATTTCTGTATGAAGTGCAGCGAGTCTTAGCAGAAACTGTCAGCTCATTTTTGTATGCTAAAAGTTGAATAGTGATCCTCACCTTCAGTTCAGGCCATGTTGCTCTTCTAATTGGATTCAAACTTGTTTTCTAACTAATTTGAAATATTAATTTAATATTCTTTGGATCAGAAAAAGTACTATCTAGAAACACTTTGAGCCTGACTTGTGATTGAGGTACAATCCCACACAGCAGACTGTGCACAGAAATGATTGTTGGTTGGGGCTCTATAGAGTATACGGAGCAGATTCTGCAATCTGGTCATGGTACTCTGTGTTATAATGATGTAAAGAAACTATAAAGTGTGTTTAATCATATGAGTATTCTTCAGCCTTGGATAATATACAGGAGATGTGAGGCCACTGTAAGATTCATGCTAATCTGTACCCAATGTCTGGTGTGAGGTGCTGCTGTGGAATACAGGTATTCCCAGCTGGAACTGCTTTATTCATTTTGGGACCACGGGTAGATGGCATAAGTTGGACGTTGGTCTATTAAAGGGTTGAAAGTTGGAGGACTGATGGGAGTTCTGAAGGCAGAAAAAGCTCTCGCTAGTGCCTCCAATATTTTTGTTTTTGGTCATCACAAAGACAAAATCTCTGCCCAGGAAGTTAAATCATTTCAGTTAACTTTGATTCTTCAAGCTGAAATCTATGTTCAAGTCAAGTTCACCTTTCATAGATGACATGCCACTGGTATCTGTCAGCTGTTCTCTTAGGTTTCTGTAGATGAACCACAGCACCAGGAATCAATAACCTGTCCAGAAAATCAGTTGCCCAAATGCTCTGATCTAAAGCTTAGTTTTCAAGTGGAACCAAGAGAAATCAGTGGAAACATTTCAACTGGAACAGAAATCATAAGTCTCTTTTGCTAGAAAATGTTTTTTGCTAGAAAAAGGAGCAGAATTGTTGGCATCCTGACAATTCCCTGATCACACACACAGGAAAAGCTCTATCAATGCAGGCCTTCTTCTGGAACAGCTTTCGGCTCTTTCCCACCCTTCCACCTGCACTGCTAACAGGAACACCAATTGATACAGCTAAGTCACTGCTGATGTCTTAGAAACATTAAGGTTTGTCTTAGAACCATTAAGGTTAAAAACATAACATTGTTACATGTTACTAGGAAAAGCCATGTCAGCAGCACATGTTTAATAAAGGTATTACTAACTAATGTTCTGTAATTAGAACAGGGCAGCAGAGTCGTGCAGCTCTGACTGCCCCCGGCAGCTATGCTCCCTGGAAGAGCAGAGCTGACAGCTCAGGAATGAGAGCAGCAAAGCTGGAGGCAGCTTTCCTGGCAGCTGGCCTGCATTTGCAGAGCTCTCACCCAGCCCATGCTGGTACATATGAGCTTTCTAAACAACATGTGAAAGCCCAGGGCAAGAGGCAAACAAATTTCTCTTCTCTTTGGGAGAAAACAGAATACTGTGCTGTAATTAAATTTGCCAGGCTCTACTGTAATATGATGGTACAGATGAGAGGATACAGTAGGCTGCTTCTTGGGCAGCCTACTTTCATGTCAAAGTACTGGCAGGGCTATTTTACAACGGCATCAACAAGTTTGTCTTAGTCCTTCATAGTCCATAAAGCAGGATGCAATTTTTAATGCTAATAGAAATACAAATACAACTTCTCTCCAAACATTAAGTACCAGTGATCCTCTTCTTCTGACTCAGAAAACTAAACAAAACACAGCTGAAGCAAATAGAAGGACTAGGGACTTTTTGAAGGATTTCCGTTCAGACCTCTTATGA